AAATAGCTCACACAGAGCCTTGGTTTTCTTCATGTGTTATACTCCTTTTTTAATATTCTTATTATTGAACTTAAACAATGGCTTGTTACCAGGAACTGTCTGTCATTGCTGTTCCTGATTAGCTGCTTGCTGGCATTTTTCTCGCTCTGAGACATTTTGCATGACTAGTGTTGAGCAAACTTGCAGACATTGTGGGACGTTTTAAAAGACACAAGCAGCTCCTCTCCAGGAAACGCTGGGGAATTCAGAAGACTCAGAGTCTCAAGCAGAATTCCCACCCACGTTTCCCAAAACCAGACTTTGGTTGTATTTATGCAATTGATATTAAGCTGCATGAAATATTGCTGCTATAGCACTTTCTGCAGTCCTTCCCCATTCCTGTCCATGTGTCCCAGGAAAGCACAGATGGCCTGGACGGGCCATGGGTTTCAGGGCAAGCAGAGGACCAGGGACAGGCTTGGCTGGCGGTGAACGTGTGTGCTTCCACCCACGTGGGTGGCAGGATGGCCGAGAGCAGCAGGATTTCCCTTCTGCTCGCTAGCAAGAGTCTCTGGGCTCTCTGGGGCTGTACTTCCAGACTTAAGAGTTCAACTAAATCCTTGGTTACATCAGTTTTCTACTGGGCTCTAGACAGCCTTTTCTAACCCCCATCATTAAAGACGCCATTGCCTTCACTTTCTGACAAAGCTTTTGTTTTCACCACTGACTGTAGTGTCATATCCTTTTAAAGGTCTTTCTGTGACCATGTCCCAGCCCGCGATGACACTGAAACAGCAGAACACCAGCCTGTTGGTCATGCCATACTCCAGACCATAATGATACTTCACAGGCACTACAGAGTGCCTGAGGTTATTGACATGAGGCCACAATGCAATTTTCTCAAAGCATCCCTATGTATCTGTGCTAGGTATTCCTACATCTCAAATCCCCCTTTACAGAGAAGAAATTAAGCCCCAGTTCTGCCCAGCTCACTGCCAAAGCTGTGGTGGCCATGGCTTGTCCACATCCCTAGTCAAGGCCCGTGGCAGTGGTGCCTACTGGATCTAGAGGCCAAAGGGTTGCTCAAGCCTGTGGGACCTTATCAGACATGGCTACACTGGCAAGCTGATGGCCATCTGCAGAGCAGCCAAGAGGGCAGAAGGTGAGTGAGAAACACAGCCTACAGCGCTTATGACCACGCAAAACCTGTTCTTTATGGTACAGGCATATCCAGAGCAATGAGAAAACCTGCCTAAGATCCTACAGAGAGGCGGTAGATGGAAACTTAGCTCTTCTCCACAGACCTACACCAATATTACAGGGGATTATATCCCCTCTCCAGGGCACCATGCCATGTCCCACGCAATATTTGTGTCATTAGCCCTATGTGATTACTATATAAAAGACACAAGATGCTCTCGGGAGAACTACACAGAACTTGCACCATTCCTTAGCCTAAAGTATTTGACTCAACATTCCAGTCGTAACACAAGACTCATCATTTTGGGTAGCAGTCAATACAGTACAAACAGCAATTTTGTGTAAAAATGGCACATTCTTCTTGCTTTCCCTTACAAACAAAAGTTTATTTTTGCTGCATATAGATCGAGACTCAATAGTTTGAGATTCAAGATAGATCCAGCCTTCTAGAAGCATTTTGTAAGGTGGGGGATAACAGCCTGAAAGCTACTAAAACCGAATTTGGTAAATTTAAGAGCCTAAGCAATACTGAATCGATGTAAAAGAAATAAGGAAGGTACATCCACAGTGCTCAGTTGAGACTGAGAGGCTGCTAAATATTTGACAAAAAAGTATTTGAGTTCTCTTCTATCTTAAGACTATTGTATCTGGAAATGAGAGCGTGAATACATGCAGTTTGCAAAATTTTTAAGGCTTTTTTTTTTTCTAATTGGAGCTTTGCCCTCTTTAACATCTACTCTTGACTACTTCCTATTGACAGTCACTAAAACAAAGAGTGCATATTAATGCAGACGAGAGTTTCATTCATAGACAGTGAGCTACAACAGGATTATTTGCAAGTGCAAAGATCACTCCCATGAATAAAGATTTGGTGGATCAGTGACTCTACTGATAAAATGAATAAAATCCTTCTCCAAACACAATCCAAATATGTTTTCTTGCAACTTACCCAAGCAAGTCTACTTTTGTGTTTAATTTTTCAGTTTAATTAACTGAAACCACATAATTATTAATGAGAGCTCCAATAGGGCAGGAGAGCAAATGTGCTTCTCGGTGATCAAAATTAGCAGCCACAACACAAAACCCAGTTCTGTTTGTGCAGGAATAGCAACCCCCTCCTGCTACATTATTCCATTGATCTACAAACATTTACATCTCTTTTGTTAAGTAGTTTTCTGTAGAAATTTCATAATCACTGAGGAACGCTCTTACGACTGCACCTCAAGAAACTTCTGTGGAGTAAACTTGGATCCGTCAGAAAAACAGGGCCTATTTTTGCCTAAGTCGTGTTATACATCAAATCTGTTGGGCTTTTCTTGGACATTCACGATTCACTGTAAATAATTCAAACTGGATTTACAAAAGAGAAGAGGCTGTACGACGAACGTAAGAACTGCATGTTACTACATATGCCTGACAGTCAAAACTATCAAAAGTATTTCATAAAGCCAAATCATAAAATGTTTTCTCCTCCTCCTTCATGCTGTTTTGTGACCTACAATCAGTATCAGGTTGATAAAAATTAATATTTTGGAGGATTTCTAACCAATATAATACCAGTCTAATTAAGTAGTTCTTGTTGCTATGGCAAGAGAACACCCTCACCCGAATAAACGCCGTTATCCGTACAACGTGCACTGAAATTAAACACAGACAACATTAGTAGCTCACAGATAAACAAGAAACACCTTGAAGTATTACTGCAGCGACACTAACTGAAGGTGCATTCCCCTCCCACTGAGTAACTAGGCTGCAACGCACTACTACAGGAAGCTGAGACCAAGATCACACTGTTTATTTATTTATGTTTTTATTTATTTTAAGGACTAGGCACTTTTACCAGTAACAAGGGTTCTGAGTTGCAGCAGTTAATAACACATTTTGAGAAGTCATAAGTTCCAGGGTTTAAATCCTATCTTTAAGACACCTTATAAACATGATGCTGGTGCTGCACAACATGAGCGACTGCAGACACAATACAAACCTGGCTTTTTGCCCCAGGTTTTTTTATTAAAAAAGTGATCAGCGAGTGAAGATTTGCCTGAAGAACAGTGAATGAGCAGCAGTTTTTGTTTTTATTATGTACACTTACAAAAGACAGCACTAAAATATGTAATTAACCAATGAAAGACTAATAATTCACCTAAGTTCAGTAAGTCAGAAAAAAAGTGGAATTAGACCCGAACCTACAGCCACCGATGAAGACAGGCTTTGTCCAGCTATCTGGTTTAGGTCACGTCAGATCCTCTAGTTGAGCATTTCTAGTACGGAAGTGCTCTCTATCAACAATCCAGACTGATTTTGAAAGCATACTCTAATCACTTTCC